CCCCAAAACCCCAAAACCCCAAAACCCCAAAACCCCAAAACCCCAATTATCACTAAATTTCTTGAAATCCAGTTAATTTTAAATTTATGAAATATACTATGGAGAATATTCTTCAGAAACAGATTAAAAATGTGATGAGTCAGTTTCCAGAGGCACTGTCTCCTTCCTCTTATTCAATGCCTCAGGAGATTTTATCCCCTGAGGACATTAAAATAACTAGAGAATTGATCAGGGATTCACAGACTGATCCATTGATGAGCCAGCTTCTTAAGAAGCTACTTAATTCATATGAATCAATAATTTATGAAAACTCTGTGCTCGCTTCGAGAATTATTCTTGAAGCTGGAGCTAAGAGAGTCTATCAGCATAATCCTCAATGGATCGATAATTTTGCAGCTGCTGGAGGCGATTTTGATTCATCTTACAAATAAAATGGTCCTTCTCCAAAGAGAGCTTTTACAAACACAATTAGATAAGGAAGGAATAAGGAACGAGCAACTAGAGAGAACGATTTCCCAAAAAGAAGATGAAATCCAGCAGTTGACAAAGTCAAATAAGTCTCTTTTCACAGAGAATTATGATTTACTGAAGTACAAGTATCTTCACGAGTAATTTTAAAGTTTAACCAATTCAGGAGTTTAAAAGCCGACCAATCGCAATATGAAAAGCCTAACCAGAACGATCATAATAGTGAAATCACAGAGGAAAAAGAATCAGACCATTCAGAAGAAGCTAATGAGAGATCTGAAGAGGCTGATGAGCTTACTGAAGAAGAAAATCAAACGTATTCACATAAGAGTCAATCTGAGGGGGAGGCAGAAGAGCAATCAGAAGATCAGTCTTTCAATAAGATTCGGGAAGAAGACACTTACCTTCAGCCTGAAGCTAGAAATTATATGTTGTATCCTCCTGATGACCAATTAAGTGTGGAGAAGAGGTACCCTCAGCAACAAATTGAAGACTCTCAACTACAAGAGGAGTTACATGAGGAAGATCACTTTGAACAAAATGAAGATTATGACCTGCAAGAAGAACTTGATAATTGTGAAGAAAGAAAAGAAAAATTTAATTATGAGCAAGAAGACCAAGACCAAGAAAAGTACGATTTTAAAGTAACTGACCCAATTAAAGAGATGGACTTGAATGTTGATCAGAACAACGGTAAGCCTTTAAAGTAATAGTATTAGAAGACCTATATGAGCTTTTGCTCTCTAAACAATCAGTGTTTGATGTTTCCAAAGAGACTATCTCTTTGAATCAAAATTCAAAGCTCAGCTCTAGTATAAGAAGTAAGAATAGTTTAATAATGGATGCTGAAAGATCTACCAAGACTCTTGATATCTTGATTAAGTCAACTCAGCAGCGTCATTTAAAAAGAAACATGACCAAAAATGCAATAAAAGAAAAACCGAAAGTTAACGAAGCTGTAGAAATAGAAGAAAGTATGGATATTGGAAGCTACCAGATAGCTGGTGTTAATGCGGTTGATAATAGAATTTCAAACTCTATTACAAAATCCTCTGAAGACAGTCCTAGGAAAACACCTCCTACTCCAGAACCAGTAGGAAAGCATAAATCGATAGCTTCTCAGCCAACTCTGTCCTTGCCTGGTTCAGAACTTGACCCACAAGTTTCAAAAATTCGTGGCTCTTACAAAGTGACAAACCCAGAATTCAAGCAAGAGAAAAAAGAAGAGATGATCCTTGTCCATAACGAGTTCAAGGAAGACCAAGAAGAAGAGAAGAAAGAGCCTGAAAACAGAGCCGTGGAGAGTTCTAGAAATACATTCAAGTACCCATTTAGAAAAGAAGGTTCAAAACTCATGAATACTCTTGATGAAGTTACCAAACAAGCTAAAATGAGAGTCATTTGCAATAGAAAGCAAGCTAACCAGACTAGGAAGAATAAGAGTCAAGGAAGAATGAAGCCAACAAAGTCAGTTGATTTAGCCCCACATAATAAGGATTCTAATATTGACAAGTCCAGTGCAATTTCAAGGAATTCTAAGTCCTCCGCTTCATATAGTAGGCTTAGGCAGCCAACACCCACTTCTGTTTCTAGTAGAAAATCTCTTGAAAGTATCAGAACCAATTTAATGACAAGCCATTACAGGACAATGCGTAATGCTGTGAAGTCTGGTTTGAAAACTCCTAGAGGGGCTATTCAAAAGGAAAACCATAAAGGTCTTTCTAGTCATTGTCCTCCTGGTAATCCCAAAGAATGTACAACTCCAACTGTATCTGCTAAAAGGCCTGTGCTTGGACAAAAATCATTCCAGCCAAAAAGATTTAGATTCTAGTCACTTCTATAATATTATAAAACTTGGGGTTTTGGGGTTTTGGGGTTTTGGGGGTTTAGAAAGGGAATTTTGGGATTTCGTTAGGTTAATTTTGGGTTATTCTGAAATTATTCAGTGTCTTTTGGAGTTTCTGGGGTTTTGGGGTTTTGGGGTTTTGGGG